ATTAAAAGCCGGGTTGCCGGGTCACTTTTAAAATTTTATGTTATGAAAACCGAATTATTAAGTTTGTATGGCCTAATATGCAAGAAAAATTAATAAATCAATTTTACGTAAATTTTTTTTTAATTTATATATAAATTTGCTCTTTGATACTCCGAATGATCTACAACTTTTTAAAAATCTATTAATACAGTATATTTGATTAATTATAATATTAGGCGCCCCAATAAACTATCATGGCAAAACATGCCTACAAAGTGGAGCGAATATCGCCCGTATATATAATAAACTATCTACTAATAAAAATATATGACATTTATGCCATAAACGCTCGATCCATCATTTATGTTATTACTGCCATATCCGTCTCTTATGCCATTTCTTCGTGATATGCCTTACATGCCATAAGATCTGGCATTTTCGGCGCAGCACCCCGTGATCTAAAATTAACCCGTGACTCAAAGAACATCAAGGGTAACAACAGCAAAGTCCTCCACCCCGCTCCGGACAAAAAATGAGATGTATTGCACATTGGTAAATTTTTTACATACTGTATAATTATAATTTGGAATGGGATGCAGAATATATGCATAAATGATAAAAAATAAAAATGCATAACTTTATTTGTTGCATGCATAATTGTCCCTGCCTAATGCCTAGGAAAATATTAAATTCATGACAAAAAGGGAAAACCTGTAAATCATTTCACTCATTATCATCGCAGTCCTAATTCTTATAGGGATAGGCAATGATAATGAGTGAAATGGTTTACAGGTTTTCCCTTTCATCACTCATTTATAGCGAATTTTTTTACTAGCATTATTATATATAACATGCTTTAGTTTCTGTGCATTTTAATGTAACCCAATGAATCACTAAGCAAATTTGTTGTTTGCAGGCTTTAATTTTCGACAATAATTCGGAAAGGAAATCTAAAAGAACTATTATTACCTAATTCTTTAAATATATAAATATGTTTCTTAGATGTATTGTAGAGTACAAAATTCGACTTAGCTTTGTTTTACCAATTTCGAGAAATTATTATGACGTTTCTGTTTAAGAAAGTATTATTTTGTCGATGGTGTACCATAACTTCTAGAAATGTCTATGACAGATAAGTCGGTTAACATTTTTAATTCCAAGTTATCTTGGTTCGAATGCAAATAGAGTTTAAGGTTCAACTCTCTTTTCACTTTTAAATCACTGATATCCCTAAAATTACATCAACTTTATTAATCTGACTTCTCTTTGGCTACAGAAGTTCTATAACATTCATATTACTTTTATCTTATTGCGTCAAAAATTTTCAACTGTGCAAATTTAAATTACAAATAGATAAATCAAATTTTTAAAAAATCAAATCAGCAACAACTGGTCGATGATCGCTGATATGCATATTATCATCGTATAGATTAGGCATTGTTCCATGGTTTAAAACTTTAACATTTTGTGCCTCCAAACTATTATAATTAAGCATTATGAAGTCAATCCTGACTGGTTTAACGCTTGATGAGAAGCCTGTAAAGGTATTGGAGAAACCATAAGATGTTTCAATAGATTTGTTACTGATCTCATATCGAGTATCACCGAATGGCATTAAAACCAAATTAGTATTATCTGATTGTGATTTATCGTTATTATTTGCGTATTTCTTTCCAGTAAGTAATTTATAGGGTTCATCATTTTCTTCACAATTGAAATCACCAGTCAGAAAAACCATATCAGGAGACTTGAATAAATCTTGTGAGTTTCGTAATATAAGTTTTGCGCTTTCTTCACGCGCGAGAGGCCCGGCATTATCTAAATGAGTGTTAATGAACCAAAACTTTTTGCCTGTGCTCAAGTCCAGAAATCTTTTATGTAATTAAGTTAGATTTATGATACATTATGTAATTTTAGACGGTAATAATAATTTTTTATTCAAACCTTGCTTGAGTGACAACGCCTTTCAAATGGAATCAATGAAAATTATGTAAAAAAAAAAAATCTTGATACGATAAATTCTTCGTAATCATACAGTATATGAAAAACAACTTACGAGGCAAGTCAGCGTCCCAACCTTTACTACCAGGAACATCGGGTGTCTGTAAAGTAATATTTGAATTAAGCATACAAAATCTACAAATAGTTCTAATAGGGATGTTAAATAGTCCTGTCATTAAAAAGTCTGACCCAGTTAAGAACTAGTTCACACCCCTTGTCTGCAGCTTAACGTTGCGCAAAAACAATTGCTAAATCCCAAAAAGTATTGCCCATGACTCCCTTTTATTCAATTTAATTTAATGTGTCAAAAACGACAGATTTTTATCCGGACTAGTTTCGGACCGGTTCTGAACTGTCCCTAATAAGTCCAATTCCAGATTCGGCCCGAAACAGCACTTTGTGGACTACTTAAGCATCCCTATTAGTTCTATAAATGAGCAAAAGTGGAAACATGACATACTTTAGATAACCAGTAAAATTTTGATTCTAATAACTCCACGCGGTTTCTAAATAATTATGGAAGTATTATTGAATCAATAATCATGTAGCCAAAAAGATAAATAAATAAAATAAAATGAACTTTACTTATTATAAAATATTGGGACGAATTCTCCTGAATACAGGAATAAGATAATAAATTAACGTTACGCAATATCAGTTAATGACACCAATTAAATTCTTGTTATTCTTGCACAAACCTGCTTCTTTCCCATCATCACGGCCCACCCCAACCCAGCGCCAGTCTTGACCTAATAAAGCCTCAAGATCCAAAAGTTGGTTTTTAAGAACTTCCTATAACAAGTGCACAAATATTATTAACATCAGGTCGTAACTTAGCCAATTTGTGCTTGTATACTCACCTGCAGGCCAACAATATCAACCCTATGAAATAGTATGGTATCAGCAAGTTTTCTTTTTCTACTATTCCATGGCATCTCACCAGAAGCGTCCATAGTTCTCTCCAAAGACGAAGCGGTTAAACCGCGGCTAGAATCGTACCGAATATTAAACGTTGCAACACGAAGAACATTTGACTTGCTCATAGTTATAAGCAGCGAAATACAAAAATATGCAAAATAAACAAAATACGGTGCATTTATTACGGAACATTTATGGTAGATCATATAAGATCATAAATTTTAAATTTTATAAATGGGGAAAATGAGAACGTTTGTTATGATAACAGCCAACCATTATGTTACACGAACGGACTAATTACGTAGTAATTCACTCAAGTTCCATTATACTAACCAATAAATTGACAAGCATAAGCATGAATAAAGATGATAAAGATGAACACAAATCCAAAATTCAAAAAACACATACGCATATAGCATGAATTGACAACATTGTTTGGGAGACAAACATGTGTAACATTTATCACAAATTCGTCCACATTAATTAAACGTTTAGTCGCACCGAGTACGTACGTTGCTCGAAAATGTACTTTAAGAACTTTGAGTTTGTTTGTTTGAAAACTTGAATTCACTCGGTCACCTATTTTCTCTCACATACATTCTTTACTACATATGCGCCACAATACCAAAGGTATATGCATGGTCATACTTTTAAATAAACCCTATTTCCTTTCTAACGGATTTCTTTCCATTTCAAGATTGAGAACAAAGGTGTAGACACAATGACATATCAAAGCGATTCGGAGGACGACTTATTCGTCCACAGTATGAGCTTGAAAAAAGCGCAAGCACTAATAGATAACTCTCATTCTCATCAAGTTATTACTCTTGCTAGCTGTGGTAAAAAAGTTGGGGTCTGTGAAGTTGGAGATCCAGAAGGTTATCCTGTGCTTTGGCTTACAGGTACATACATAGATTTACTTTGTTTGCCTTTTTTTTCAATGTCAATCGATATATCATCTACATTATCTCATTTTCATTTCTCATTACTAGGAAACATGGGTCCAGCAATATCAATCCTTCTATATCACAATCTTGCAAAACGACACCATATCCGTCTAATTTCGGTGGATAGACCTGGCTATAATGATAGTGATGATATTTATTCAAGATGCGGAGTTCCAGACTTATTTGAATTTGCTGATATGATCAACGAATTGACTCTGATACTAGGAATGTGGCAATTTGGTGTGGCGACTTTTTCGCTGGGCGCCGTTTATGGCTTAGCCTATTCACTTAAATTCCCAGAGAGAATTAAAGGTCCGGTATTTACGATTAGTCCTTGGGTGTCAACTAGTACACCAGGTCATTTACTTTATTATAAAGGTTTGTATATATTATTGATAGATCTTACTTTTATATAATTACAATTAAAAAATTTACTATCGTTTTACTCTTAAAGGCATCGCAAAATTTGCCCCAAATTTCTTGATTCGTACGACATTGAGCACCCTACCGCATATGTCTAACTTTTTTAATATGTGGAGTACATTAGGCTCCTCAGCACCCTCTCGGATTTCCACACACTCACTTAGATCTCAATCAACAACGTCATCATCTCAATCATCAACATCATCATCTTCAACGATCGACGATGAACCAATGACGCCTACAGTCGAAAGCATGATGAGTACCATATCTCCAGGTCGTAGTTATTTACATAAAAAGATTTATCAAAATGGATTATGGAATCTACAAAATCGTACTGGTGCACATATCGATGCTATGGTAGCGTTAGAAAAAGTTGATTGGGGTTATAAATATGAAGATACTACGTATCCGATTCAAGCTTTTGTAGGTGAACAAGATGATAATGTTCCGTTACAAGCATGGACGTATATGAGTAGCAAAATGAATAATTTAAAATTAAATGTTGTTAAGGACGGTGGCCATTATTTGTTGTATAGAATGGATTTCATGGAAGAGTTATTTACAACAATCGAGGCCACGGTCAATTCCATAACTGATATCAAAGATATCAATAGATAATAAATAGTAAACCATTAATAATCCTTAATAATACTGTAATTTATTATAATAATAATGTTATGTAGAGGTAGAAGAGTATTAAATATATCGAATTTATATTGTATTTTATTGTATACGTACAGTTTTATTAAAGAAAATTGTTCGGTCGCATATTCAGGATACGTATTACATATATATTCACAACATTTAACAATTTCCTAATCATCGTACTAATAAGTTATGTCAACATCCAGTGAATTAGTATTTTATACAGAAGTAGTGTTTAACCCAAAAAGCAACAACCTTCAAGTGAACTAATAAGGCCATACAGGTTTAATTACTTGGTTTTCATAACCTGAAACTTTTAAATAGACCCGGCCGGCCGGCTGGTTTTTTTTAAAAAAAAATTTCATATAAAATTTTATAAAATTTATTTTTTAAAACTCATCCGGTTATTAAAACATATAAAAAATTTTTTTAGAAGTTTTCAAATTTTGACCCGGCTGGGTTATGAAAACCAATTAATTAATTTGCATGGCCTATTTGAAAATACACAAAAAAAAAAAAAAAAAAAGAAAAAGAATTTCATATTTATGATGTATTTACTACCAAGACTGCTGATGGAACAAGATCTATTTCAAAAGAATGAAAAAAACGTAAGTAAACTAATGTACATGTATGCATATATACGCATATATAGTTACTTACTCAAATCTTTCAAAGTTTTTTGCATTTCACTATCTCCAAACACTTTCCTATAAGCATATAGAAAGCAAAAACGTCAATTAGTAAAGAAATTAGCAATTCTCGAAAAAAATTTTCTCCGTACCTTGGGAATGTCGTCATCAATGTGAATGGACCGTGAACATGTTGACTAACAAGATCGTACACGATTTGTAATGTATCAGTAGATTGAAATGTTTGAGTGATGGGTGCTCCTGTTTGTTGTCGAATCTTTGAAAAATAATCAAACGAATGAATTAATTCAACGCGACCGAATAAATCCAAACGTAAAGCAATAATATATAAAAGTCGAACCTGTAGCCGCGTTTCGGTGTATTCTTTCTTTGCTGCAGCTGAAGCGGCCACTGCCTCTGCAGCAGCTTCTTCTTGTTTTTGAGCCTGAGTCGCTTGTTTTGCAGCTTCACGCTATAAACATTAATGATTATCAGTAATTAATTATTTATAATATAATAATATAATTCCCCACAAATTTCGTATTTGATAATTTTATTCACCTTTGCTGCTCTTTCTTTCTTATCAGCTTCGATCTGCGCCTTTATTTTAGCCTTAGCAATTTTTTCGTCTTCCTTTTCTTTCTTTTTCGCCATCAACAACTTTTGCATTTCCTTTTCTTCCAACTTGCTTTTGGCCTCTGTCAATTCTCTACCAGATTGTCTTCGCATCCTTTCACGAGATTTCTCTTCTTCTTTTTCTTGCATAACACGTAATTCACGCTTTTCGGCCAAGCGTTGTTTCAATTCCAATAATTTTTCTTTCCTTTCCTCTTCTGTTAATGGTTTGATTGCAGTGGTAGATTCAGAAAAATTTACATGACCTATTTTATTTGATTTTATTAACAGTTTGTCAAAATTAAACAAAATAATTGGCATAAAAATTTTTTGATATAAATACCAGTCTTAGTCGCATGATTTTGCGCAGCGCTTGCTAAAGAATTCGTATTTAATTTGTTTTGATTAGAAAACAGGGTAACCTATTTAATTTTGTAAGAATGTTAAACGCATAAACTTTACCATCGCGAAATAGTTTCTCGCAATCGTTACATTGTAAAGATTGTGCTGTCTGTTCTCCGTCCTGAATTTCACCCTCTTCAAATTGAAACAATTATTAATTGATACAGTTAATACAGAAATAAAGATAATATTTAGCAAATTAAATAATCAAGCATATTGACGAGTACCATCTTGATCTTGAGAAATGCCACCGACAGGCTCTCCAGCTGGCTGTTCACCTAATGATCGTCCAGCTGGCTCGTCTTCAAGTTCATCAGGATGAGAAATCAACCTAGAATACGTTGAAAAATATCTTCAATGTATCTTTAATGCAATATAAATTCACATAACATTTATATTAACTCACCAATCCATTGCGGGCTGTAGTCCAGCACCTTTCGTAGCCTTCAAAGCACGGGCCCTAAAGACATTTAATAAAATGTTTTTAAAGACGTCAAGGTTTTGAATACGTACTCACTACAGGCAATTTGTCATAACTATATTCAATGCTCACACTTTGTCTGGAGGAAAGCCCATTTCAATCAGCGTGTCGTGATCTGATTTTGAACTCATACTTGCAAATGTTTAGAGGAAGTAAAAGTGAGATCGATCAGAGGCATATTGCGTATGCATTTATATTTGACGTCACTTTGTGTGAAATCATGACATCAAAGCTGTCAGTCAAACATGCATGCATGCTATTCTTAGTATTCCGCTGTTGTACGAGTCCGATAATGGATATGATTATAATGATTATATTGATTATATAAAGACAGGAATTCTTTCGCAATTCATATTCAGGTATTGTAAAAATGAGCAACTTACAAGTTCCAAATAATAGTGGAGAGCGACAGGGCTCTTTAATTGACACAATTAAAACCTTTAACTTGGATAACATACACCATGATATACGTCGTAATTTTGCACAAGTAGATCCGAGGTTACCTAAAGAAATAAAAAATATCGCAATTTTGTTGGCGGAAGAAAAAAATCTTTTGACAAGCTTGCAAAATGTTTCAGCGGAAAGAAAAGAAGGTTAATAAATAATTAGAGCAAAAAAGTGATTTGTATCCGAGTCTAAATTTTTGATAACATTTTAACTGATTTCCTGGATTTTTTTATTTAATTAATAAAAGCAAGCAGACTTCTTCATGTGTGGGGAAAAGAAGGTGGAGAAGACATTTCTGTATGTTAATTAGACAATTTCATATGGTTTTTATTTTCTATTTTTCTATAATATTTATTTGCATCAATTTTTTTTTTCAGGATATTACTGAAAAGTTAGGTGACCTGTTTGCAAAAGTTTCAGATGTTGAAGCCGTGATGATTGGTAAAAATAATTTTAAATATTTTTGTCTGTTTATCAAATTATCGCTAGTACTAATTATCTATAAACAATTAGAAAAAAATGGACGTTACCGTAAGATTCTTAAAAAAATCCGTGAAGCAGAGGAAAAATTAATTCCTTTTAGAGAAAGAAGACGTAAAATCCAGGAAGAGATTCAAAAAATTCAAAAATCTCATCCAAAATCACCACGTATTCCAGAACTCGAATCCGATCTCGTATTTGTAAATAAAGATGCTTTGAATGATGAAACAGAAGCGGGAAATGCGATTAGGAAACATTTAAAAGAAGCATTGACATTACTTATTGATTCTATGTTTGAATGCTCGGAAAAAGTTGCAATTATTTCTGGTTTTGGAATGAATATTGTTAATCTAATTGATATTACACCATGCAAAATTGGTGATAAGAGGCCAGAATATAAAGGTTAGTTTTTCGCGATATTCTTTTGAAATTTATTATTATTATTATTATTATTATCTGAATATTAGAATGAATACAAAATAGGAAGGGAGATTTCCCATCAAGCCGTCAAAGATTGTCAGGTCGCATTGCTTCGTTGGCAACCAACATCTCAAGACATTCAAACTCTCTTACCTGCCTTGACCAATACTGCTCCTGCGGCATTGGCTGCTCAGAAAGAAGAATATGAACATAAGATTAATCAACTTACTAATTCAATGAATACTTTGAAAGAAGAGCATGATAAGCAACTTAGTGAATTTTCTAGTAAATTGGAAAATCAAAAGCGTGAATACGAAACACAAAATAACGAGTTTGTCGCTGCTTTAGCCGCTCAAAAAGAAGGATATGAGGCACAACTTAACGATTTGTCTGCTGCCTTAGCTGCAGAAAGACAAACGTTTGAGCAGAAAATTAATGAGTCTAATACCTCTCTAGAAACTCTAAAAGAGCAACATGAAGCAAAGACAAAAGACCTATCTCAATCTTCAGAGGCAAAAATAAACGAACTGACTGCTGCGTTGGATGCTCAAAGGAGACAATATGATGAACAAATTAAGCAATATAATGGCTTGTTGTCTACAAAACAAGAATATGAAATTGCATTGAAAGAACGTGATTCACTTATTTCTAAACTCCAAAGTGATATTAGCAGTGTTGCAACTGAAAAAGGAAAATTAAGTCAAGTTGTAAAAGAATTGGAGGAAACTATTAAATCTAAATCGACAACGGTTGAACAAAAGGAAGATAAAGTTGGTCAATTAGAGAGTGAAATTTCTAGTATAAAGAATCAACTTGCTAATTTATCAATTAGCGCACCTGTTACAACACCACTCTCAGATCCAGGCAATCGCCCTAATAGTAATTCATCAACTTCGGTTGATGAGACATCTTCAGATCCTCTGATCGGACCACATGTTCCACCATTCCAAGTCGGTGGACAGCAACCACCGCCATCGGGAGGATATTACCAACAAACACCATATGGAAATTATACACCACAACCTCAATTTTATCAAGGTCAACAGCAGTATTATAATCAAGGTCAAACACCGTACGGTTACCAACAACCTATTTATGGACAGCAAGGGCCACCTTCAGGTTATCAAGGCTATCAAACTTCAGGTTATCAACAACAAGGATCGTTTGTTGGTGGATTCATGATTCCTGATGATGCCCCTCCAGGTTAGTGATTAAATATTATAACATTAAATGTGAAAGTTGAAACAAACTATTTTGATACTAATGAAACTAATTAATTATTTTAGCGTATGATGGTCCTAAAGATGGATATAAGGATGATAAAAAAGAAAAGAGCTAAAGCAGTTTATTTAAACTTTGTTATGAAATTTAAGAAATTTAAATCTCATTTAATATTCAAGGTTATATTTTTCAGAAATGTAATTATTAACTTATTTATACAATATTATATATATATCATATTCAACAATTCATGTATTATTCATTTAACAAAGAATAATTATCAGACTATATGTTAAAAATTTATACGTAATTTCTCATGATTATATGAAAATATAAACATACATATTTTTGTACAAATAATATATTTAAAAAAAAAAATAACAAATAATAATCCACTGTATTATCATGTCATAAATTTAGGAGTTACTAAACCACACGAAACGTGCATTGCACGAATATTGGGATAAAACTTTTTTGGGTTAAATGCGTACACCTTTATCTGTAGAAGTACTTTGATAATTATCAGTTGCACCATAGTATGGTAAAGGTGATGGAGTATCATTTCGAGAAAAATCAACATGTTCCCTAAGCACTTCATTAATATCGCTACTTTCTTCTTCGAAGAGAATAGTGTTTGTACGTAGGAACAAGTCACGATGTCTAGTGTCAGTTGTGATAATAACGTTGGCTATCCAATGTATTTGAAGAAAGAAGAAGGATGAAACTATTAAGATCAGAGCATATTCTTGGATTGGACGTTTGTGTTGAAAAAGAAGATTTGCTTTAAAAATTATATACAATGAAGAAATCTAGTAGTATGTGAATAAAGAAAAATGAGAATTTTTTTAATAAATAAATAATATTCGATATGGACTAAAATATTATTAGTAAGTATAACTTACACAACAAGCGCCACCCAAAATATATCGCGATTTATTGATCCAAGCGGAAGAAGTCACTCTTAATATAACAACGAATCTAAAAATAGCTAATATAATCATATCCCATTTAGCTCTATTCCAATGCCAACTTCCAGTTTCAGTATTATAGATTAAGAAATAAGAACAAATTAAAACAATAGCGAGATCCAAGACAGCGAATAAATATAATAAATATTCAAATTTTGGTCTTGGAGGTGGTCTTTGGCTTAACGATACCAAAAGAAAAGGGTCAGCTTGATCCTCAATAAGTATATCGTCTTCCGTAGGATTTACAGGCAGAATTATACCGCCAGCATTTGTAATATCACCATTTGAAAGAGTGGGACTCTCCGTATAACTATTTTCAAGTATACCAATGCTACCGTTAACAGTTGAAGATTCAGCGTCTATATGCGGCGTATTAAGGTAGTTCGACATATAACGATGTTTTGGTGGTAAAAAAGGTCGTTGATATCCGTGCGATGATTCTACCGTTATTTCGTTTGAGTTTTGTGAGCTCATGATTTATATGATAGTTTTAAATGACTGTACAATAAAATTGTTTTCCATGTGAAAACTTGTGAAGAAAATTAAAATTGAGGTAAATTTTTTTTATATTTTACATAAGCTTTCTCTTTTTTTCATGCAAAAACTTTGCAAATGCAACATTTGAAACTAAGGCGAAAGAAAAAAAAAAACTGTAACAAAAAAAAATTTTTTAAAAAAACGGATGTTCAGTACATGCACAATTTATGTCGCGCATATTATTCACTCGCCACTTTAAAAAATGGCTTGTACTATTAATAACTATATATATATTAATTTACAGCTAATATTTACAGCTAATTTCACTGACAGATTTCACGTATCGCTATAAAATCTTTGTTTAACGTTAAAGTATGGGGGACGCAATGAATTAAAAATGCATTATATAAGCTGTTGTTGTAGAACACAATATTTGAACTAATTAATCTTTTCTGACGTAAATTATGAAATTCGCCCATAATATCTGATATAGAATTAATTTATTAAAAAAAGTAAAAAAAGCTAGCACTAATGATATCGATATTATTATTTAAATTTTGAGGCCAACGTGGGAGTGAAGTAAACATAGTGGCATAGCACATAGAATCGATAAATTTCTTCTTTAAAGGTTAGGGAAAGCAAAAAGTGATATATACATAAAATATAATAATTTCAGGGTCCGAATCAGTAAACGATTAATTGAATACTCTGCGATTAGTGCTCGTCCCGTTAATCTGAGATTGAATTATGGCAGAAAAAGAAATAGAGGAAGATACTGTATTATATTATATCTCATGAAAATGCTACACTTGAGTATGACTCAATTATCTTTTTATTAATCATTAATAGCAAGCGAAGTTGATAAAATAAATAAGAAGAAAAAAAAAGGTAAATTTGATATGAATAATCACACAATCGGGATCACAGTGACTTATTTTTCTATACTGTACTGTACTGTATAATGGTTTTAAAATATGTGTTTATCGTTATACAGTATATATACAGTATAATATAGGGTTACTATATGCAATTTTGTTATCCAATGAGAAAAAAGTTAATGAATGTAAGTATTCATTGGGATCCATTGTCAACCAGTGCACAAAATCGTGACATGACGTGTCCTGATTTTTTTCCGGCGATGTTTCTAACGGAGATATTAACAAATACTATCACTTTTTTATTTTATGAATATAATATATTACGTATACTCTAATGATAAGTAACGGAAGTTTTTCGATTGCTAAAAAATTCTGTCGGAATTAATTAACAGGAACCTCCGGTATTTTGCAACTTTATGGGGAGATTCGACTGTAACTGTGAATATATATACTATATATATATATATATAGTATATATATACTGTACTGTATATGAAATATTTTTTTCTCTAACTAGCTTTATATATTCTATCAATTATTTTTGATTACGTCATTAATTAAACATATTTATCCAAATTACGTACTATGATTAAGAACAGGGTATTTCTGTATCTGGAAATGTTGGAGAATTATTTTATTTCGCTATCCTACTAACATCTTTACCTGTATCCATGCTGGTTTAAAATTAATATATTGTCCGACACGTGATATATTTCCGATTGGATGAATGCTTGGGATTTAATAGTTTCATGTCTTCCTTGTATAATACTCGGGAACTGCTGGTACCTGCATGTATTACACATAGAGAGATCCAAATCTAACGCTAATCGGTTTAAAAGATCACGAGATCGATATTCAGTTTTTTGGGTTTTGTGATATGGTACACGTGCGTATAGTTTAACCTCCGTGTATATAAATATGATTCAAACCTGTCGTCTAAAAGCGTCGATCATTTGTACACTGTCCATAAACTCCATGAAAGGTATTTCCAGATTTTATTATTTTTCTTGGTTTTTTTTTTTTTTTGAAGCGCCGATATATGACTTTTTTTTTCTTTTATGCCTAAAATTAGCCTTACGAGACGTCACTCGCAGCATTACTTCGGCGCATGCTATTGGTGAGAAAAACTCGTATTAAAGGTCTTTTATAGAATGAAATATCCTTGCAAATCTTAGAATTATTTTATCATTTAGTGAATAATGATACAAAGCATTTGAATAAATTAATTGCTTCTGAACGTGGTGTATGGCACGCTTTTAGCACTTTGGCATACGACCAGAATGAGGCCGCAAAATATCTGTCGATTTGGGGAAAAAGCGAAGATAACGACATAAATGATGTGACCGAGAAATTGGGTTATTTAATAACAAAATTATCCGAAGCTGAAGGTGTCCTAGGTAATTTTTCTTTTTATTTAACCCGGTTAATCGATGAAAAAAATAGCTTATTTTCTTAATCCTTAATCTAATTTATTTACTTAAAATTATTTAGCGAATCATTATTCTCAATATCGTTCACAATTAAAAGAAATTCGTATTCGAGAAGATAACATGAGAGAACAGCGATCAAGGAAGGAAACTTTATGGAGTAAATTAGAAAAGGAGGAACGTAAGTCAAACCCTTCCAAACGTTCTGAAGCCGCTGAAAAGAGAATTCAAGATTACCAAAATGAGTTGGATAAATTAGATAAGGATACTCTTGAGGGTAAATAATTTATTTTATTATTATGAAAATAATCATGATTTATTTACTTATCTTTTTTTTTTTTATTTTTTTTTTATTTTGATAAACATGTAGCTGAGACAGCTTTAGCTGACTTTAAACGCAAAGAATTACATGAAGCATTAACGGTCCAATTCGATGCATTTCTTGAGTTTGGTGAAAGATTAGTTATTATAAGTAAACATTGCAAAAAAATAATCGACCAAATTCCCCTTACTGAAACACGTCCTGGTGAACCAAGAGAACAATATCGAGGTACGTTTACAAATACTTTAATAGAATTTATGTTTATATATTTATAAATTAATAATTTCTTTTTTTTTTTTTTTCTTTTCTTTTTTAGGAAAAGAAATTACATCGCAAGCTGTTGCTGACGCAAAGCAAGCACTAGAAAATTGGGCACTACCACATGATAATTATCTTACAAGACCTCGAACGACAATTTCCGATGACTCGACCGATGATCCATTATCCACACAAAAGACCAGCTTCGTTCTTTCTACACCCCCGCAAGATGCTCCAAATAATGAAAATACTGAATTTTCTTTCAATACTTCTGAGCGTAAACCTTTAACTCCAACATTTTCGGGTGGAATTTCTTCATCTAATACTAGATATTTTGAGGATCCAAATGAAGCCGATCATAGTGACTTGGATCAGACTACTGATGCTGAAGGGGAGATGTCAAAAGTAAAAGAAAACTTTCCACTAGAGACTACGGCAAATTCCATAACGGATGGCGCTGTAATAAACTTAATTCCGAAACCTCCAACGCCACCACCAAAAAAAGATATAGAATCGGAATTAAGTGATTCGAATAATAATAATAATAATAATAATAATAATAATCAACACGTTACATTCGTTAGTGCTGCAAAAACAGTGGGTGAACCAACAAAAGCGCAATTCATAGCTGCTGAACAAGTTGCTGAATTTTCAAATACACTTGAAGTTGATAATGATTCTCAGCAAATAGATACCGAAAAGCTTGTCCCTACTTCCTCGACCACACGTTCTCAACGTAAAGAACTAAAGCACGTGCATTTCAGTGACGTTGAAAGCGAAATCCCATA